AAAATAATATTTCCCCCCCCCCCCAAGGAAAAGCGCTAGTTGCGCCTCTTCTTCAGAAAGAAATGTGAAAATATATCAAAGAGAATATATTTCTCTATCTGAATAAGTTATCCAAAATATTCCAGGTGTCAGACACCTTGAAGAAATGAATATGTCTTTTTCACATTTTATCTGTATCCGTGGGTGTGAAGCTCCCTCAATCTTTGCTTTTATTATCTAACCAGCTTCTAAACCTAATTAATGAAAATAATAAGATTATAAAGGGTATTATTATGTAAGTAAGTGTGAAAGTCCAGAAATAATACTGAATATACAAAATTTTATTATAAAAGGCTGGTATTTCATAATTAATAAATTTTTTAATCGAAAACAAGATGTTATAAATTCATTTTTTTCTGATAACAAATGTTTAGATCCTCGGAAGGTGTACAAACTAGACAACCGAAACTAGATGGAACAGGTGAACCCTATGTTTTTAAAAACTGTCGATGTTACAGTGATTATCAGAAAACAGTGGAATAGAATCAATTTATGACTTAAAATAGTCCAAAAACATTAAATAATAAATTCATTGGCGCGCAAAGACATTACGCACTAAACTAAGCTAGCATGGGTTGGTCAAATATGCCTATGATATGCCGGGTACTGTGAAAAGGCTGGCCGCGCCATCAAAGTTAAAACTGGGCTGACATAGGATAAGATTGGGTCGGAACATCTCGTGCATCACTAATTCCAGAGAGGGGGGGGGGGGGGGGCAGAAGTCCTTAATTGGTACCAAAACGTGTTTCGCGGCATTCGCGCTCCTCAATTAATGATCCACCTCAATTTGTAATTAGAAATAAAAATGTTAACATTAAATTGTTTATTTCTTAGAAACAAGACCATATTGACCTCTGTTAATGGCCCTATAAATCTATAAATATGCCACATGAAGCGCTAGAAATAAAATTACGTTTTTGAATCTCAAGTTTCCCTTTAAAAATGTTTGTGGCATTTTCCGATGAATGTTATTGTTTCAAACTCCTCATATATCCCATCTTTAATGAATGTAATAATAACTTAAATTGAAAATTTAATTTAAGCCAATGCAGATGCAATGAAACCCTGAAAGTATCTAATACTGTATTAAAAATGCATTAAATTAAAATATCAGATAACAAGATTTACGGTGATTACAAATTGAGAGGTGGTGGAGATTGTAAATTGAGGAGCGCGCATGCCGCAAAACACATTTGGGTGGCTGTGATTCCCAATTGAGGACTTCTGCACTCCCCCCTCTTCCAGAACAGGAGTCTGGCCGGTTCGAATTCAAATTAACCCTAGTCCACTGTGATTACTCAGTGTAAAATAATTGATTTAATAAGTTGCTAGTAAAGGTATTTGTTTTGTAACAACATCAAATATACTTCAGTATTGCTTTAATGTCGTCTTCTTATTCAACACTTTTCTGGTTCTCACTGTATTTCAAGTGAATCTCTTTTAAAGAGAGGATGGATTCACAACAGTACCCTTTAAACCTTTGTGTGAGGAAAAACTATGAAAAAAATATAAACTTTCAAATTCATATGTTTGTATGATAGAATAATGACGATATCTTGCTCATTGCTACTCAGATAAAGAATTTTAAGGGAACATTTGTCAACCGTGCATGTAACTCTTGATTGAAGGCTCACTTCAGATTACGGCGACAATCCCTTTAATGTATAAAGCTGAAAGTATTTGATGCAAAGTTTTCAATTTTGTAATTAGATGAATATAAACAGAAGAGGTGGTAACCCTGCTGTACAAGGAAATCCTCTCAATGTATATCCGTCAATGAATCTATCTATATACCGTGCCGTCAGTTTTTTTAAAGTTATTTTTATTATTGAAATATTAGAGATTATAAGGGGAAATTCTTTAATGATTGCAATCAATGTATTTTTATTTAATGTTTAATTAAAAATCTTATTTTTCAAAACAGTGTGTTAATTTAAAAAATATAAAGTTTCTTTGCCCCTTAAAATTCTGTACAAATACAGTCTAGGAAAGTAATTAGTGGAATAAAATACCCATGTCCAGAGAAATACCACCTTTTTTTCGGAATTCAATTTAAAAGTCTAAAAGTCCAAAAGTTCAAAAATCTAAAAAGTAAAAAAGTAAAAAAGTTATTGCACTTCACTAACTTGTATATAATTTAAACTATGTATTTTACATCAAATATACTTTTAGAAATAAAAATAAATAAAAAATATTTTTTAGACGGGTGTCAGGGTTATGTGAACTCTACGGGAGAGATTGAAGAGGTAGTTTTTATATTTCATTATCTTATAGAATATTAATTAATTATTACTTTTTAAATATATTTATTAGTTTCAATAAAGTATTACTTAAAGGGAGTGACCGGCTATGTAAGGTAGTTGAACTGAGTATGCAGTGTTGTGGAAAACTTCTTTCGGATTCATTTGAGACATATTAAATAATAATTTAAAAAAAACTAATTCTGAAAGCGTATCCACCCCCAAAGTAGGAGTAATGAACGTCGGCTTTGCACTCAAACTCAGGATTTACCGATCTTTAAAAAGTGTAATATGTCTCAAATGAATCCAAAAGAAGTTTTCGACAACACTGCGTACTCAGTTCAACTACCTTACATAGCCGGTCACTCCCTTTAAATATTATCTGAATTATGTTTTTTAATATATTTTCATTAAAATACCAATTTTAATGTTTACTTTTTGATATATTAAGTTTAATTTTAATTTTAACAATTTCAAAATGATGATTTTTAAGGTTGTTTAATTTTTTATTGAAATTTTAAAAATGTTCTTTAACTTAAACCTTCCAAATATAATACTTGATTTTGATAATGTAAAACAAATACACGAAATATTTGTTAAAAGATAAAAATGTAATATATGGTCACTTAGTAGTTAGTAGCAAGCAAATGTTCTAAAATGATTGTTCAACTATGTGAAAACATTTACTGAATTTACATAAATGTGCGTAGAGAAAGGCCCTCTAGAAAATGACAGTGCCATTTTTTCTGAACACAAAAATTTGAGCATTGTGTTTTTTTAATATGCGAACAATCCAGTTTGGTAATTGTAAACAGAACATTTTCATTACTTAAAAGAAGCCTATAGACCCCATTTTCCATAACAATTTTATATGCTCTTATCCCCCCCCCCCTCCGGCCCTCCTCTACTAAATAATACCCAGTTATATCACTGGAATAAAAAAAAATCATAATTTCGGCTGAAAAAAAATATCATAAAGGACAAAAGTCATAATTAATTTTTAGATTAGTTCAATTCACAAAACGGTTCACTTTATAATCTGTATCATAATCAAGGTACTTGAAGTTATTTATAATAAGAATAACTTGATTAATAATGAATAATGACCAAACATAAGGGGTTTATTAGGATACCGTTGTGAATTGCACATGCAAAATGGTATACTTTTGTAGAATGAAATCCTGATGCCTGGTAGTGTAGAGAGTTCTTCCAGTTCTCAAAATCCTACATCTGTACTCACTTACATCAGTATACACAGGTAAATTCTACTTAATGTAGTTCATGTAGATGGCTAGATACTATACTTACATCAGTATACACAGGTAAATTCTGAATAATGTAGTTCATGTAGATGGATAGATAATATACTTACATCAGTATAAATAGGTAAATTCTGAATAATGTAGTTCATGTAGATGGATAGATAATATACTTACATCAGTATACACAGGTAAATTCTAAATAATGTAGTTCATGTAGATGGATAGATAATATACTTACATCAGTATACACAGGTAAATTCTGAATAATGTAGTTCATGTAGATGGATAGATAATATACATATATAAAGTACTAGCTGAAGTTCCCGGCTTTGCCCGTGAAATAAATTTTGAGTTTTGAAAAAAAAATCGAAATTTATTGAATAAAAATTTCGAGTTTTGGAGAGAAAAAAATTGCCAATTTGGTCCAGTCGTTTTGCCCGCGTATATATACATATATATATATATATATATATATATGAGCGAAGAGAATTATTATCAAGAAGGAATTTTTTTCGAGGAATTGTGTAATAAGCTGATGTAACGTATTTTGTTATATTAGATTCACACTTCTTAAACATTTGTTGTGAATTTGTAGACTCTTAAAAGGTTTTACGACAATCTGAGAAGGGTCCAACGTTTTAAAATTCTATTCGTAGAAGTTTGCTTTTATCAAACATGCGAACGTGTTATCCTAGGTGAAAATAAAAGGCAAAAACGAACCAAAAACAATCGTTTTGAAACCCACAAAACGATAATTTTAAAACGATCGTTTTGCCAGATATTTTCTTCTAAGGTAAAAAAATTTTCAAAATAAAATTGTGAAGATGGAAATATCTAGATATTTGAAATTTGATATGATATTTAATAAAATGTTTGAAAGAGGAAACGTATATTGAAAGTTCATAATAACTTTTAACTCAGGCTGAAACAGTATACTTTGTTCTCTTTTTTAAGCTATTATAAAAAAAGTTTCGAATGATTTTGACTAAATTCATTGAAAACAATTAAATAAGCGCCAACACAAGAAAACAAAAAGAAAAATTATTTAAGAAAAAAATCCTGAATCCAACTACAAACAATATAGAAACTTTTAGAAAATATAATTCTGTTTATCGCACAACAATAAAAAAGGCCAAGACTAGTTATNGTTTACTTTAGTTTATCGTGCAGTTTACTTTAGTTTAACGTGCAGTTTACTTTAGTTTAACGTGCAATTTACTTTAGTTTAACGTGCAGTTTACTCAAGTTTAACGTGCAGTTTACTTTAGTTTAACGTGCAATTTACTTTAATTTGAAGTGATATCATTTATCTACATATCATTTATCTACATATTATTTATCCACATTTTATTTATCCACATATTATTTATTTACATATTATTTATCTACATATTATTTATTTACATATTATTTATCTACATATTATTTATCTACATATCATTTATCTACATATCATTTATCTACATATTATTTATCTACATATTATTTATCTACATAATATTTATCTACATATTATTTATCTACATGACTTCAAATCATGTTTTGAATACTTAATTTCTACATATATATATCATGTAGAAATATAAATATATATGCTTATTATTAATTTTTTAGTGAGAAGAGAAGTATTTTTACCCGTAGAAGCAGTCTCCATAATTCAACAAGTAAGAAAAATAAATATTTTCTTTAACATAAATAGTTAAAAAACAAAAATGCTATAATACAATTTTATTCAAATCTAGTTTTAAACGTCAACTTACCGTAGAGTTGAAATAAAGCTAAGAACATTACCGTGGTTCTGCCATGTTTCCAATATTTAAAGGATACTAAAACTAAGAATTCCTTGATATAATTACTAATATTTAAAGGTACTAAAACTAAGAATTCCTTGATATAATTACCAATATTATAAGGATACTAAAACTAAGCATTCCTTGATATAATTACCAATATTTTAAGGATACTAAAACTAAGAATTCCTTGATATAATTACCAATATTATAAGGATACTAAAACTAAGAATTCCTTGATATAATTACCAAAAATTTAAAGGATACCAAAACTAAGAATTCCTTGATACTATTTGTATTATCTCGTGCTTTGTAGTTGAAAAAAAAAATGAAATATGAATGAAATAATACACTGTACCAACCCTAAAATTTTGGTCTTGAAATCGAATAAAAAAAGTTTTTCTTAATTACAAAGGTTTTGTTCGAAACTCGAAAATATCTGATAATCTTACAGTTTCGAAATCGCAAGTAGTCTGTTGCTCACTTCGAAGCAAATGTTCATTATTTCGAAATGTTTTCTAGTATTGCGTTATTACGATCAACGTTTCATTTAACATTTCAACACAACAGAAGGAGAAGGTAAAATGTATGCGACATTACTGCTAGGACTTATTGACCTCTTACCTCATCCAGTTTTGATTTTATAAATTAGAAAAGGAAATTGATCCGGATCCGGATCCGGAAACCAAGATATTCAAAACAATTTCGTTTTTTTCACAATAGATCTTTTATTAGAGGAGTTCTAAATAAAAACATACAAGATTTAAATCTTACGTGCAGTTTACTTTATTTTAACGTGCAATTTACTTTAGTTTAACGTGCAGTTTACTTTAGTTTAAAATTCCTTGACACAATTACCAATATTCAAAGGATACTAATTAAATTAACACTAAGAATCCCCTAATATAATAACCAATATTCAAAGGATACTAACACTAACTCTAAATGTAAAGGAAAATCTTTACAAAGAGTTTCTTGATACTATTACCATATTACCATAATTATTTACTGAGAAATATATAATATTATCCGAACTTGGTCGAATGATAAAGTTTATATATAATCTATCAGTTTAGCATGTACTTAGGATATTATCCAAATATATTATTTATATTAAAAATACATTCAGTCAAGGCGCAACTAGGCTTTTTCATTATGCCTTTTTCCTTTTGCATATATTTTTAAAGAAAAAAGTTGTAGAATTTTTAATTTCTGAAAAATGAATTTGTTATTTTTACCATTTGTCTCTGTTTTCGTCCTGTAAACTTTTTTGATGAAGACAGGGGCTTACTGCACCCCTGGTTTATTTATATATACATTTACAAATATGATAAATAAACACAAATCAATTTGCATTAAACAATTTGTCTGAACAAATAGAGATCTGAAAATATATTTAATAAAAACTAACAATACAACCATAACAGAGCCGACTTTTTAGTATCTATAACCTTCGTTTGAATTTTGAAAAACTGCACAGCGCTTATTTCTACTTTCTGTTAAAAAGAAGAATTTGACAATATCTAAATCGATCCACGCCTCGTGCCAGATTTAGAAAATATTTTATTTATAAAGATCTTTGCTCATATGTATAATAAGGTGTTTCAATTTTGGAATTAAGAAATTTAAAAGTAAGAAATGGGTGAGAATCTATTAAAAAAATTTTTGATATTTAATTTTTTCCAAAAATGTAATATTCAAATCCTTATTTAGTTTGATTTGGCTGATTGTTCATTTGGGCTAACTTTGATTTTCGACCGACATTTTTTTGGGAGGAAATGTTCATTTGGACTAATATTACTTCATGTAATTTTGATTATGACTAATTTTTATGCAGGCTAAAGCTTATCAAAACTTTTTTTTGACTGAAGTTAACAATTGGGCTAATGTTCATTTGGGCTAATGTTCATTTGAACTAATTGTTCATTTGCATGAACTGTTAATTTTGAAATAATATTTATGAGAGGATTATTTTTCAATAAATTTTTTAAGGATTAGATTTATTTGTAGAATTTATAACTATTAATGCAATGGACTATGGACTTGAAGGTTTTTTAAAATTCGGAATTCACATCTTTAATACATTTTTGCTCATGCATATTTTTGGGCGGAGCGAGCAATGAACTATTTGAATGAAGCGAAATATATTTAAGCCTAAATTCAAATTAAGCCAAATGAACTTATATCTATTGAAAAAATATTCAGTCAACTGAAAAGTTTTAAATGTGCCAATTTGATGAAAAATTCTATTTGTATAGTCCAGATGAGAACAATAAGCAAATCATTTATGAAGCTTGGATGTCATGCTTTTATAATGATTAGGTCGATTGAACAATTTTTAGCTGAAAAATTCTGTTCAATCAGACTAAAATATCATAATTTACCAATTTCTGGCAGAAATACCATATTACAAGGTTAAAATGTCAACTGAGAAAAAAATTATTTTCTTGAAAGTTTCTTAAAATTAAAAGTTTTTAGTTTAAAAATTATCTTTAAAACATCTTATTTGTACTCCGTCATTGTTTTACAGCTATTGACAGATTTTGGCTACTTATATATGTTAAAGTAAAAAAAAGGAAAATAATTTTTAAGTTAGAGCTTTGATTTTTAAAAACTTTTCATCAGGATTCATGCACACGTCTATCTTTTACTTTTTTGAATTTCCAAAAAATGTGTAAATTGACACTCCTTAATTTATATATAAATATGTCAGCTATAGCTGGTCAAACGGCTGGACCGAATGGGCTAAAAAGGGAACCCACGGTTAAGCTGGGAGTAAAATAGGCTAAGAAAAAAATCTTTTATCTTTTAAATCGAAATTTGAATTCTGCGGGCAACTCCGGGCACTTACTTATCTTATAAAACTTTCCCATTCGACATATTTTGAATTTCTAGATGTTTAATTATTTGTTTTTCTCTAGGGACGATTTCTAATCATGAGTTCTGGTCTAGAAGCAGAAGCTATACAGGAACTCCTGAGTGTGAGGTTACATCCCTCTAATATACAGGAACACCTGAGTGTGAGGTTACATCCCTCTAAAGTACACCTGCAGTATGGAAACAGTACAAAAAAATGGCCGTTTTACACTTTTTTCTAGTAAATTCCTCTCTATATATTCTATTCTCTATGGTTACATCCCTGTAATATTCCTTGTTATGTAAACACTAGATAGTTACTGTAATCTGCATAAACAAATAAAGAAATTAGATTTGAAAATAAATCTAATCCAGTGAATTCGGTAAACAATGTCTTGAAATCAGTGAGGAATTATTGTTACGCATAATTATATTCAAATCTATGTTGTACTGTTTATTTTTATCAAAATATCTTGATTAATAACAGAATGAATGTTGTAGATCTGTTTCAAAAATCATGTATTTGCTGTATTCAGTACTTTTATCAATTTATCTATATCTATACGGGTACATAAATAGTTTAGCTTAGTGAAGTACAGTACATTCCAGGGCAGTACAATATAGTACAGTAAAGTACAATATAATACGGTACAGTACAATATGATACGGTACAGGACAGTACAATAAAGTACAGGGCAATATAGTACAGTACAGTACAGTAAAGTACAGTACAATACTGAAAATTACTGTACAGTGTAGTACAGTACAGTACAGTACAGTATAATATAGTACAGTACAGTATATTACAGTACAGTGTATTACAGTAGTGTATTACAGTACAGTATATTACAGTACAGTAGTACAGTACAGTGCAATACAGTACAGTACAGTACAGTACATTACAGTACAGTACAGTACAGTATAGTATAGTATAGTATAGTACAGTACAGTACAGTACAGTACAGTACAGTACAGTACAGTGCAGTACAATACAGTACAGTACAGTACAGTAAAGTACAGTACAGTACAGCACAGCATTATATTATTCATCCTGTTAAATTTGAAGGTTTTCCAATAAATTTGATTGTCAATATGCATCGAAGTGAACTAATTGATAATAATTTTTACCGAGGCCGTCATTATTTTATAAATAAAGAGATAATTGATTCTTGTTTTCTGTACCTTGATTAAGAAATATGGTTAAATTTGATCTCAGCTCAAAGAACAAAGATGTAGGATTGTACAACTATTTCTCTATTTGTATACATTCCCAAGTTGGACACAATGCGTAATTACTGTACAAAAAATATATTTTTAGAAATTTTTATTTTTCAAAATACAAATTGAAAATATACCTTTAAAAGCAGCAAAGTTTTTACATACGATATACAGCACAGACATATTTCAACTTAACATCTAGATGATTGCAACATCTCGCACTCCTGACCCTTCAGTAAAAGTAAATTCAACCTAAAGTCAGACCACGACAACCTTGTTGCACCGGCTAGTCCTATTGAGTGTCTGCTTTATGTCCGGGCGATACAGTACAAACTGGGACCCGGCTCGGAAATTCAAATGTACTATGGCTGCCCGTGACATACTTCATATCTGAAAAATCTAAAAAGTCTTATAAAAAGATGTGTATTTTTTTTGTCAGAAAAACTAATATAAGAAAAATATCAATTAAGCTTACATATCAATTAATCTTACATGTTATTTATCTATATATTCATGTACATATATTGTAAAGTTAAACACTACCTGTTATATCATTATAATGTTATAGTTGTTTTGTATTTGTTTTAATTAATGTAATTTACAATAAACAAGAGAGAAAAAAATAAATATTGAATGTACTGTAATTTAAGATCTAAAATTTGTTTTTCAATTTTGAGTGAATTTATCACACCCACACACCTCTGCCCCTTTAGTAAAAGTAAATTGAACCTATATGAAGCATAAAGTCTGACCGCGTCAACCTTGTTGCACCGGCTAGTCCTGTCCATAGAGCTAGGTACAGTACAAACTGGGTCCGGATAGGTTGACCAGGCTCGGAAATTCAAATGTACTTCGGCTACCCGTGCACCTGATATTTCCCGTTGTAGGATGGTGACTTTATCGCCCTACAACAGGGTCAAAAACTGAAAAAGTAACTTTCTCACCCTGCTATTAAAATTTCAAATTTCATAACTAATATTTCATGTTGAAGGGAAAGTTACTTTATCACCCTACAACAGATTGATAAATAACTTTATCGACCTGCTATTAAGTAAGTAGAGTAAAATTAAAGAAACTTATGTTATTTTAATGGGTATCATGCGTGCAAAAAGGTTTTAGCTGTGATTTTTACCTTATATAAAAGTATTTTTTCAACACAATATGTTCGGTGTAAGAATACTTTAATTTAGATCTTAAACAAACTAGAAAAAAATAAAAATCCCGGCATAAACTTTTTTGCACTTAAAAATTCCCATTACGATGACATAAATAGATATTACACATTTACTTTCAAACGAAAAAGCGAATACTTATTAACAATTTACATTCCTTACAAGAGAAATATATGCGGAAACTTAAAGATTATAAGATAAGTGACAAGATTGAGTATTACCATTAGTATTGTTGTATATTATAAACTATATATTTGTTTGCTAAAGTTCGAAGATTGATTTTGTTATTTTCTAATCTTCAATCAAAAACCTTCATGGAAGCAAAAAACAGTTAGAATAGCAAATAATTTTTAAAACATTATTTTCAATTTTTTATTTATCGTTTCTCAACTTTTAAATTTCAAAAGTTATCTAAATAGTGCATATTAAATTGTGCAATCTAAAATGTCCTGGACGAGGGGAGGAAGGCCAACCACATCAATCTCCAGTCCGAACCACATTCTCATCATTTTCTCGTCCGAACCACATCGAAATCCTCGTCCTTTCAATATTATTTTTTTTAAGTGTCCGATCCTTGAAAATAAATACATTTTTGAAAAATATGGAGACGTTAGGGCATGGATGAAATATCAAATTTTCCTAATTAAATTTTAGATTTCTGTAAAAATGAAAATGCTCCATAAACGATGTTCTACAAAAAAGCGTCTGTTTAAGGAGTTTAAGAGCCCTTTCTTTTGCGGAAAATGCCGCAAAACATTCTAAAACTCCATGTAAACAACTTTTTGTAATATTCAAGCTGAATTTGGGTTAGAGATATGACTTACAATTTTTATATGATTAAATACTGTTTGAATTCATAGGGTTGTGACCAATTAATTGTAGCAAATGATTTGAATAATATAAATTGAACATTATTTTTTCTATAATTATAAGCATGCGGCAGGCAGTAGTGATCTCTTAGTGGGGACAACAAATCTACCTTATTTGTAAATAAATCAGAAATCAATGATTATTTTGTATGGGTTGAAATGGAAAGATTAAAGACCATGTTCACACGAATTCTTTGGTATAAATTTTTATTTGTGAAAGTTATCCATTTTGGAGGCAGAAGAGATTCAATTTTTAACCTAAATAATGTTTGTCATCATTCTCGTGGATTTGAAGATTCCAACATCTCAAAATCCTTGGAAAACTTTATTCTTGACATGTTGTATGCCCTAACGTCGCCATATTTTTAAAAACTGTATTTATTTTCAAGGATCGGACACTTAAAAAAAAATAATATTGAAAGGACGAGGATTTCGATGTGGTTCGGACGAGAAAATGATGAGAATGTGGTTCGGACTAGAGATTGATGTGGTTGGCCTTCCTCCCCTCCCTGGACTCTCTTTTAAACTGTTAAACCTGGCCGTAAGTAGTCGAAACAAATCTAGACCTTTTCCCGCCCAGTGCCCATTTATCTAGCAGCTTTTATAAGTTGCTTTCCAAGCCACCATTTTCTTTGTACACAAATATCAAATTTCATAATTATCAAAATAAAATTGAGAAAAATTTGAGGCAACTTTTTTAATTTAAATTTTGTTGTGGGAAATTTTGAAGTTACAAACTTGAACATTAATGGGGGACAAATAATCTTTTCACGGCCAACGAACCGTCAGATCGAGTCAAAAGTTTATGTGAAATAACATAATTTAGTCATGTATAAAAAAAGCCAAAAACCCCAGTTGTAAAAAATATGCGACAAAAAGTTGTGAAGTATTACCATGCTGTCGTAATAACTGTCGTTTAAATTGTTAACAAAAATTTTAAAGCCTCAATTTTTAAAGAGAAAACACAATTAAATAAACTATTTTGAAAAACTCCTGTGAAAAAGTGGTATTGTTGTGAATCTGGTTGAAATTTCAATAAAACTCACCAAAGGTCACACACTGAGTCTCAACAAGATCAAGATTTTTGAAATGCCTCAAAAAAAGGTTGATGAGGTTTGAAAATATTATTAAAGCATTGAGAAAAATATTTATTAACCTTTTTTCATCATCATTTTTAAAAACATTCATGACAGGACGGATTAGTGGAAGAAGAATTAGAAATAATCATGGTAGAACGGATAAGAAAGATTCTTGGTAGGACGGATTAGAAAGAATCATGGTAAAAAGGATTAAAAATAATCGTGGTAGGACGGATTAGAAAGATTCATGGTAGGACGGATTCGAAAGAATCATGGTAGGACGGATTAGAAATAATCATGGTAGGACGGATTAGAAAGATTCATGGCAGGATGGATTAGGAAGATTCATGGTAGGACGGATTAGAAAGATTCATGGTAGGAAGGATTAGAAAGATTCATGGTAGGAAGGATTAGAAAGAATCATGGTAGGACGGATTAGAAATAATCATGGTAGGACTGATAAGAAAGATTTACAAGACCGAATTGGGAACAGAAAGATTCATGGTAGGAAGGATTAGAAAGATTCATGGTAGGAAGGATTAGAAAGAATCATGGTAGGACGGATTAGAAATAATCATGGTAGGACTGATAAGAAAGATTTACAAGACCGAATTGGGAACAATCATGGCAGGACGGATTAGAAAGATTTATAAGAACGGATTATAAATAATCATGGTAGGAAGAATTAGAAAGGTTAATGATAGAACGTATTAAAAAGATTCATGGCAGGACGGACTAGGAAGATTTATGGTAAGACGGATTAGAAAGTTTTACAAGAAAGGATTAGAAAGATGCATGGTAGGACGAATTAGAAAGATTCACGGTAGGACGGATAAGAAAAATTTACAAGACCGAATTAGAAATAATCATGGTAGGATGAATTAGAAAGATTCATGGCAGGGCAGATTAGAAAGAATCAAGGTAGTACGGATTTGAAAGATTTATGATAGGACGTATTAGAAAGATTTATAAGGACTGATTAGAAATGATCATGGAAGGACGAATTAGAAAGGTTAATGATAGAACGGATAAAAAAAGATTCATGGTAGGACGAATTAGAAAGATTCATGGTAGGACGGATTAGAAAAACGCATGGTTGGACGGATAGAGAGAATCATGATTGGACTGATTAGAAAGAATCATGGTTGGACGGATGAGAAAGATTTATGGTAGGACGAATTAGAATAGCCATGGTAGGACGAATTAGAAAGATTCTTTGTAGGACGGATTTGAAAGAATAATGGTAGAAAGGATTAGAAATAATCATGGTAGAAAGGATTAGAAATAATCATGGTAGGACAACTTAAAAATAATCATGGTAGGACGGACTATAAAGATTCATGGTAGGACGGATAAGAAAGATTTATAAGACCGAATTAGAAATAGTTATGGCAGGACGGGTTAAAAAGACTCATGGTAGGACGGATTAGATAGATTTATGGTAGGACGGATTAGAAAGTTTCAAGGTAGCACGAATTAGAAAGATTCATGGTAGGACGGATTAGAAACAATCATGGTAGGCCGGGTTAAAAGGCTCATGGTAGGATGGATTAGAAAGATTCAAGGTAGGAAGGATTAGGAAGATTTATGGTAGGACAGATTAGAAAGATTCATCGTAGGACGTATTAGAAAGATTAATAAGGACGGATTAGGAAGATCTTTGTAGGATGGAATAGAAAGATTCATTGTAGGATGGATTAGAAAGATTCATGGTAGGACGGATTTGAAAGATTTATGATAGGACGGATTAGAAAGAATCATCGTAGTACGTATTAGAAAGATTTATAAGGATGGATTAGAAAGATTCATTGTAGGATGGATTAGAAAGATTCGATGTTAGGTACTTTCCCAGTTGTGCAATTTCCCAAGTCGGTCCTAGCCGCAGCGCTCGGCCCCTTATTGCAGCCTGCGGCGCCTCGGAGCCCTTCTAACCTAACCTTTGGGAAGTTGCCGCTTGGGAAATTGTCACTTAGGAAAATGTCCAACACCAAAGATTAGACGGACGGATTAGAAATATCCATGTAGGATTAATTATAAAGTTTTATGACAGAAGTAGGATCGCTTAGAAATATTTATTTGGAAAAATTAGAAATATTGATTTGGAAGGATTAGAGAGATTTATTTGGAAGGATTAGAAAGATTTATTTGGAAGGATTAGAAAGATTGATTGGGAAGGATTAGAAAGATTTATTTGGAAGGATTAGAAAGATTTGGAAGGATTAGAAAGGTTTATTTTGAAGGATTTAGAAAGACTTATTTGGAAGGATTAGAAAGATTTATTTGGAAGGATTAGAAAGATTTATTTGGAAGGATTAGAATGATTTATTTGGAAGGATTAGAAAGATTGATTTGGAAGGATTAGAATGATTGATTTGAAAGGATTAGAAAGATTTATTTGGAAGGATTATAATGATTGATTTGAAAGGATTTGAAATATTTATTTGGAAGGATTAGAAAGGTTTATTTTGAAGGATTTAGAAAGACTTATTTGGGAGGATTAGAAAGATTTATTTGGAAGGATTAGAAAGATTCATGAAAGGAATTAAGATTGTTTGAGTAAAGTTCCATATTTTGCCTTTTCTGTATGCTTTGGATCAGATTTAAGCTGGTAATTTTCCACGAATATTTGATGAAAACGTTTAAATATTGGAATATTATTAAAGAAACATAATTTCCGAGAAATTTTGTTCATCAATGATAAATATAAGATTTTGAAATCAACCTGTACAAAATCATTTATTAGTTTAAGTTGGGACTGCAAGAAACGAAAGAAGTTTTAGGAACAGAAGTTTTATTGGTGACATATCGATCAGACTAATGATTGTCGATTGATTGAACTATCCTCCCCCTACTTCCCAATTCGACTCTTGATATTGTAAAAAATTGACAAAAGAAATTTTCAAGGCTTGAAATAATAAAATGATATATTTTTTTCAGTAAAACAACTGGACCAACTTTGTGTTTCACTTTGCCTTCCAACCAGTTTATTCAATGATTTCATTAAACTGAGATTGCAGCAAGGGGTATTAACATAAAATCGGAGGTAAGATAGAAAATAAAGGAAAACATCTTGATTACCATTTAACACAGAAGTGGACTTTATTTTTCAGGAATTTAAATGAAAACAGAAGTTGAAAATTTTAGTGTAATAACTTGCTTTATTAGTGTATGTTAAAGTCATAATTCAGGAAATATTAGAAATCCAAAGTTGATTACAAAATCAACATCCAGTTAATCAAAACATGAGTAAGTCTTAACGGGATTGACCGGCTATGTAAGGTAGTTGAACTGAGTATGCAGTGTTGTGGAAAACTTCATTCGGATTCATTTGAGACATATTAAACTTTTTAAAGATCTGTAAATTCTGAGTTTGAGCGCAAATTCGACGTTCAAAACTCCCACTTTGGTGGAGGATATGTTTTCAGAATAAGTTTCTTTTAAAATCATTAAATAACGACAACGAAATCTTAAGTAAAAATTATATAGTAATCTTATTAGATGGTTAAGAACATATTTCTCAAAAGAAATTTGTCAATAAATCAATGCTAAAATTGATTGTTTCGTTTTCATTATTATACCGAATTTCTTTTCTTTGAATTTATTCGCAGGTTTCTTCAAATTCTTTAAATGTCGTCTTTTCAATATTAATTCTAGAAAATCTGCAGAAAATCTAATAATGAGAAACCAGAATAATGAGATAATAGAAATTAATAATTGAACAATAATTCAACATGTTCCTCCACATTACGTCTGTAATTTATTGTAGACCTTTTTCAGTGCAGATCCAGGATCCGGATCCAAAGCACTGTAGTAGTGTGGGTTATAATTTACTTATTACAGATCAGTTCAGTTTCTTCTACAATGTATTCTAGGGACCACAGTAATTAAAGAATTTCTCCTACTTCGTAATCTTTCCTTCCTTCCTTAACTACCTTGAGAGTAAAATTAATATGACAAAATTACAATTTATTGAATTTCTCTTTGTTTGAATTTACAGTTTAAAAATAACTCATCACGTGGACTTATTAAGACATTAAATTTTCTAAAAATGCTGGAATAAAACAACTAAAAAATATGTTTACGAAAAATAATATCAATCGAATAATACAGATATTATATTTATCAAAAATATATCCAATTACAGCCCAGGCCCTTTCATCTTTGAAAATCCAAGATGGCCGCCATCTAAATCCATGAGATGAGTGCCTACTCTTTGTACTCTATATCAGTTTGGTCCAGTACCTCATATTCCTCCATCTCCTCCTACAAATATAAATTAATGGGACTGTTTTGTAATTTCAAGTGCAACTCTATTCAAATAGGGGCACAACAACCTTTACAACAATACCTTGATACCTTTATCTGATCAATAAAATATCGGAGTATATTTGATTCTGATAATGACCTCTTACGACCTCTAATGACCTAAATGACCTCCACAAATGAAAATGTTTTAACTATGGCTTTATGCATATCAAACGAAAGCTAGGAACCCCAGGAATACAGTAGCAGCAACAAATCCAGTGTTTGGCCTTCTAATGACCTCTAATGACCTAAATGACCTCCAAAATTAAAATGTTTTAACTATGGCTTTATGCATATCAATTAAAAGCTAGGAACCCCAGGAATACAGTAGCATTTTCATTTTTGGAGGTCATTTAGGTCATTAGAGGTCGTAAGAGGTCATTAGAAGGTCAAACACTGAATTTGTTGCTGCTACTGTATTCCCTGGGTTCCTAGTTTTCGTTTGATATGCATAAAGCCATAGTTGAAATATTTTCTATTTGTGGAGGTCATTAGAGGTCATTAAAATTCAATTTGATTTTATTTTAGGAATTTCGATCACTAATTAGGCCCCCCCCCCACATCAGATGTGCCAACTCCACCATCCCCTTTCATAAAATTTTATAATTAAAAGTTTTTAAAAATTACAGTTATGATATTCCTGCTAAGGATATTGGGTGTGAACGAAAAAAAAATGTTTGCTGACGAAAAAAAAAAATATTTGTAGGATCAAAAATAGCCTATTTTTTGAAAATGGCAAAATGAAAGCTATTACAAAAACTTTTTGACGACATCTTTTTTCATGCTTTCTTCAAATAGGTCTTAGCTTTGCAAAGCTCCTTTCTAGTCTGGTTCCGAAATTGACACCAGTTTATATCTTTGGAGTTCTCTTAGAAAAGATGAAATACTAATCAAATTCAAAATAAGAATCAAAATGAGAATTAAAATTGCACCAATCCCCTAAGAGGGTCCGGGTGTGTGTGTTGGGGGCGGNTAAATTACTTACGCATCAACTATTCCAGCGAGGAATACTTGTCTGTGTCCTTTTCCAAGCATTACAGTACACATGTTCCTATCAGCTTAAAACAAAAGCTAAATCCCATAAAACTTCTTAGATTCAGATATAAAGACACCGTCACTGATAAAATAAGGGAGAAAAAAACCAATGAAAAATATATCATAACACAACCCCGCAGTGGTATATTGCTTCAAAAATACCCCTTTAGATCTATAATAGGGATTAAGTAGACATAATAAATTTAGGTACTAGAATAATTGATAACTGTCCGTTGGTGCCTCTAGTTTTACAGTTACATATTGTGACAGGTCAAGAACTACTTTATAGCAAACAAACAAATCCGACCTATGTTTACAATCTTTGTTATTGTGTTGAATCGATTCCTAACTCGTCACAGGCAACTGTTACAGAATATTAGCGGATTAATAAAAATATTTACCGCATCCTCCTCCTCGGTGTCCCTGATCAGATACACACAATGGTTTGCTCCAGTTCCAACCTTAACAATTATCCATCTTTAACTAGATCGATGAACTATCTCCGCCGGTTCAAATATTGAAAAGCGGATTTAAAGTTAAAGATTCAGGAGGATTTGAATCGGTGATTCAGGATTTGAACCGGCGGGACGTAGTTCAGCGACTTCTCCCATTCATAATTTTCGGTCCCTGCTTATATAAACTTTAAATTATTCTTTCATTTCATTACCAGTGTCAGTCAGACCATACAAGGTTTATAATTCTAGAAATTTGCTTCCATGTGGCATTTCCAATTCACAGTTGAAACTAAACATTTTAGTCTAATTAACTTTGATTTTTGCATAAAAAACGTGTGGATTTATGAAGCAGAAAAAATTAAGGAAATTGCCAGAATTATATACTTATCAAGATAGAGGTAAAGATGATGATAGTCACTTCCAAGTAGATAAAACAGATATTGTTGTAAATAGTTCATGCCACTTTAATGGTCGCCTGAAGTCTATAGTTCATTTTTAAACATTCTATTAGTTCACCTTCAAAATATTGGCGTACTCAAACTCCTTCGATTTCTTAGGAACTCCTTGATTTCGGAACTTTTCTCCAGTTCCTAACTCTCCATAGCAGGGTCCTAACAATAGAAGAGTTTGATAATAATGTTCCTAACTATCCATAGCAGGGTCCTAACAATAGAAGAGTTTGATAATAATGTTCCTAACTCTCCATAGCAGGGTCCTAACAATAGAAGAGGTTGATGATAATGTTCCTAACTATCCATAGCAGGATCCTAACAATAGAAGAGTTTGATAATGTTCCTAACTATCCATAGCAGGGTCCTAACAATAGAAGAGTTTGATGATAATGTTCCTAACTGTCCATAGTAGGGTCCTAACAATAGAAGAGTTTGATAATAATGTTCCTAACTATCCATAGCAGGGTCCTAACAATAGAAGAGTTTGATAATAATGTTCCTAACTATCCATAGCAAGGTCCTAACAATAGAAGAGTTTGATGATAGTGTTCCTAACTATCCATAGCAGGGTCCTAACAATAGAAGAGTTTGATAATAATGTTCCTAACTCTCCATAGCAGGGTCCTAACAATAGAAGAGTTTGATGATAATGTTCCTAACTATCCATAGCAGGGTCCTAACAATAGTAGAGTTTGATGATAGTGTTCCTAACTTGATACATTTATAACGGGACTATAACAAACAAGTTATTATCATGCAAGTATTAATAAGAAGAACCGAATCAAAGTACATTTCAAATCATGAGATCTTATTTGAAAATCATGTTTTTTTAAGTTTTCAAATCGATTGTTGAAATTGATCTATATGAAAATAAGATCTAGCTTTTTTTTCTGGACGAAAGCAATTTGAAACAGCTTAGGAGACAATAAAATGTCCATTTGATCAAATCTTTTAATCATATATTCTTTCCTTTCAATATACAATCTTTTATCTGATTACCAAGTCACAAAAAATGGTGATTATTCAATCAACGTCAATCAAATGTTGACGGGATATACCTGTGTTAGTCTGCATGACACTTCCATCATCTCCAACATGATTCCAACCCTTCTTGAAGAATCCAATATCCCTAACCAAACCAAACCACACATTTTTACTGTTATTTAGACCCCCCCTACCCCTTCCTCATTGGGGACAGGGGATGGAAAGTGTGGTGCCCCTTTTCGTTAAAAAATCCGAACCGTAGGGGCTAAAGGCTCGAATCCGAACCGTAGGAGCTAGAGGCTCGAATCCGAACCGTAGGGGATAGAGTCTTGAATCCGAACCGTAGGGGCTTGAGGCTCGAATCCGAACCGTAGAGGCTTAATTCCGAATCGTAGGAGCTAAAGGCTCGAATCCGAACAGGAGGGGTTAGAGGCTCGAATTCGAACCGTAGGGGCTAGAGGCCCGAATTCGAACCATAGGAGCTAGATACTCGAATCTTCCCCCTTTCCCTTGTTTTTAATCGTTCAGGAACGTTTATAAAAACTTTTGATAAAAATATTTTGAAACTGTCATAAGTTAAGGTTTGTTAAAAAAAAAATGAATAACTATCTTAAAACGATCTTTATGAACACGTACGTTTTGTTTCGTTTTCCCCTCTATTTTCTGACAGGATTAAAAGCCATAATGTGAGAAAATCAATGTTTGGAATAAATAATTTTGAAAACAAAGGCTTTTCGAACACTAGGGAAAAAACGACGATTTAAAAATGTAACAGAGAAATGCACGTCTCTATGTGGGGTTAGCCATTATAACTTATTGTCTATGTTTATTTGTACTTTAAATACTTAAGTTATTGAAGATGGAACTTCAAGAAAGATTTATGTTCCACCAAATCAAACTTCTTAATCGAATTTTTCTTTGCGTTAGCTTGTTATTAGTATGTATAAATAAATACAAGGACACCTCATCTTCCACCATAGGCGTAGCCAGGGGGNNNTAAGTTCCCCCCCCCCCCCCTTCCCTCTAAATTATGAAATAAATTAATGTGTAATCCCTAAGACCAGCGTCCCCGAATTCAAAATACTGTTTTGGTACCATATTCGCTTCCTTCTTCAACCTGAATACATATTCTTTCCAGATTAATATTGCCTCAGCGTAAGATGAATGAGTTAAAAAACAATGTTTGTTTTTACAGAGAACATCAAGATCAAAGGCGGAACAAAAGGTTTTGTTGAAGGAGGAGAAGGGGTGAGAAGGGAGGGAAGAAGGAGAAGGGAAATAAAATAGTTTTCCTGATAAATTACTTACGCATCAACTATTCCAGCGAGGAATACTTGTCTGTGTCCTTTTCCAAGCATTACAGTACACATGTTCCCGCAGTACACTTCTTCAATCTTACCCCTAGAGTATAGAAAGAATACATAAATAAATATGAAGAATATGAAAATACAAATAATTTTAGCGTTTCAAAAGTTTCCGGTTATTTTTTTTAGCGATATCCTTAAATTTTAATTAGGCATCAGCCAATTCCGGGGTCATGTGGAACCAATAGGTTCAGCTGTATTGTACCCAGGTAGGTACTAGAGCACCTATAGTACAAACCTTGGATGATCTAAGCTCTGTACCCAGGTAGGTACTAGAGTACCTATAGTACAAACCTTGTATGAGCTAAGCTCTGTACCCTGGTAGGTGCTTGAGTATCTACAATACATACCTAGGATGATCTAAGCTCTGTACCCAGGTAGGTACTAGAGTATCTACAATGCATACCTTGGATTATTTAAGCTCTGTACCGAGGTAGGTACTAGAGTATCTACAATACATACCTTGGATGATCTAAGCTCTGTACCCAGGTAGGTACTAGAGTACCTATAGTACAAACCTTGGATGATCTAAGCTCTTTACCCAGGTAGGTACTAGAGTATCTATAGTATACACCTTGGATGATCTAAACTCTGTACCCAGGGGTAGGTACTAGAGTATCTACAATACATACCTTGGATGATCTAAACTCTGTGCCCAGGTAGGTACTAGAGTATCTATAGTACATACCTTGGATGATCTAAACTCTGTACCCAGATAGGTACTAGAGTATCTACAATACATACCTTGGAAGATCTAAACTCTGTACCCAGGTAGATACTAGAGTATCTATAGTACATACCTTTGATGATCTAAACTCTGTACCCAGGTAGGTACTAGAGTATCTACAATACAAACCTTGGATGATCTAAGCTCTGTACCCCGGTAGGTACTAGAGTATCTATAGTACATACCTTAGACGATCTAAACTCTGTACCCAGGTAGGTACTAGAGTATCTAAGGAACATACATTGGATGATCTAATCTCTGTACCCAGGTAGGTACTAGAGTATCTATAGTACATACCTTTGATGATCTAAACTCTGTACCCAAGTAGGTACTAGAGTATCTACAGTACATACCTTGGATGATCTAAACTCTGTACCCAGGTAGGTACTAGAGTATCTCCTTGGATGATCTAAACTCTGTACCCAGGTAGGTACTAGAGTATCTACAATACATACCTTGGATGATCTAAACTCTGTACCCAGGTAGGTACTAGAGTATCTGTAGTATCTCCTAGTCCTGTCCTACCATAGCTTCCTGCTCCCCAGGTGAATACTCTATATACCATTAAACCATATTCATTTTAGCCATTTTTTAAATCTAATAAATTTTGAGAAGATTCAATATTTTTCTTCAAGGCCAAAACTTTACCCCACCATGTCTTTATTAATACGAGTTTTTAAAATGACTTTCTCTATTTGCTCAATTCACAACGATACCGTTCATCAATCATCTTAGTAGCAATATCATCGTTTTGGCTTTCTTTGTCAACTTTCCTTGAAAGTTTCAGCATCACAAAAGTTTGAGATTAAAAAAGATGATATTTCCGTAATTTTAAGGACAAGGTGTGAATGGGACATCATAAATGGCAAGCCTTTTGAAAATGTATCGACAGTCCCTTGCTGAAAAAAGAAAAGTACGATAAAAAAAACCGATATTGCTTTGATCTAAAACGTGCACGGATTTTTCGGGAAATGAATCTCAGATATTTGGTAAAAAATGTCAATTCTAAATTCTGTCAAAGCTCACTGAATTTTTTTTAGTCAACTCCGCTTTAATTTTTTCCTCTTTTTTAAAAATAAATTTTTTATTACAATTATTCAGTTTTAATACAAATAAAAAATTATAAGAAAGAAAAATAAGGAAAATTCCAATAAATTCCAATCTAGAAATATCAAATAAATATTTATTGGATCCAGGATTTGAAAATAAATAGAATTATCTCATATTGAAATAAATATTCATAGCACAGGATGTTCTGAGTTCTTTTGTGCGGTTTTATTACTTCAGTTCAGAGTAAATTTTATTTTAAATTAGGATTGAAATAGCTAGCGAGACAAGTTCCAAGAAAATAGTAAAAAAATATAACAAAGTTAGATTAGATTAAATTCATGAAATAAAAAAGTAGTTTCGAACGAAAATGATTTCCTGGACATTTCGTCGACCATAGCAGCATGATGTGATCCTGCAGCTATACTCTTTATACGCATCATCTGCAGTACATTAGTTGTTATTGTTAATACGCATCATCTGCAGTACATAAGTTGTTATTGTTTACACGCATCATCTGCAGTACATAAGTTGTTATTGCTTATACGCATCATCTGCAGTACACAAGTTGTTATTGAATACACGCATCATCTGCAGTACATAAGTTGTTATTGCTTATACGCATCATCTGCTGTACATTAGTTGTTATTGAACACACGCATCATCTGCAGTACATAAGTTGTTATTGTTTATACGCACCATCGCAGTACATTAGCTGTTCTTGTTTATACTTACCATCTGTAGTACATTAGTTGTTTTTGTTTATACGCATCATCTGTAGTACATTAGTTGTTCTTGTTTATAAGCATAATCTGCATAATTCAGTAGGTTAGTTGTTATTATTCACGCGTATCATCTGCAGTACGTTAGTTGTAGTTAATTATATCATCTGCAGTACATTAGTTGCTATAGTTTAAACGCACCATGTGCAGTACATTTAAAATTGTTATTGGACATACGCATCATGTGCAGTACATTAGTTGCTAATGTGTATACGCATCATCTGCAGAACATTAATTGATATTGAACATACGCATAATCTGCAGTACTTAAGTTGTTATTGTTTATACGCATCATCTGCAGTATATAAGCTGTTATTGTTTATACGCATTACCTGCAATACATTAGTTATAATTGTTTAAACGCATCATATGCAGTACATTTGTTTTTACCGTTTATAAGCATCATGTGCAGTACATAAATTGATATTCTATATATGAATCATGTGAAGTACAGTAATTGTTGTTTTTATAAACATTCCCAAACAAACAATATATTGATGTATCACACACGCAAAAAATAATAAGATTTGTACACAACAAGCAAACAAACATTTTCATGAAAATTTTAGCGAATAAAAAGATAATTCTTGACCTGCAGAGATTTGGTTTTCTTAGTTTTCGCATCTCTCTCGTAAACCCTGGATAAAAGATCCATTAAAAGCCGGATATATAAATAAAATAGAGGAAACTAGTAAACAGGAAATACACAACATATTGAATCAGAACTTAGATCTCACATTCAGAAGAACGGATATCTAAGTAATTTTAAATCCAAATTTTCCCCCACCCGTCAAATTTTTTCTTTCCACCACCCAAATTTTAATAAATTTGGAATTTTACCTAGTGATTTTGTGGGGCTCAGAGATACCTGCATAGCGCATCTTAACCTAAAAATATTTGATTTCTTGAAATCTTGCAAACCTCTAAAAGAGCTTTTTAGATAAATAATATCTCTAAGATGACGATAGATAAAACTGAATATCTCTAAGATGACGATCGATAAAACTGAATATCTCTAAGACGATAGATAAAACTGAATATCTCTAAGATGACGATAGATAAAACTGAATATCTCTAAGATGACGATAGATAAAACTGAATATCTCTAAGATGACGACAGATAAAACTGAATATCTCTAAGATGACGATAGATGAAACTGAGTATCACTAAGATGACGATAGATGAAACTGAGTATCACTAAGATGACGATAGATGAAACTGAGTATCACTATGGCAAATATAGATATAAATGAATATCTCTCACGCAAGAAGACTAACTATTTACCTTTGCTTCAGCAGCGTTATATGCTCCGTCTGTACCAGTTCCACATTTACCAAACTCCTGTATCAGAAAATTTGTATCTTAAGATTATCTGCAAACTTTTAAAAACTAAAATTTATCCAAATAAATATTCTCCAAAAAATATTTCCCCCCCCCCCAGAAGTTATTTATGCTTACTCGAAAAATAAATGATTTTTAGGGAGAAATCAATGAATTTTTAGGTAAAAATTATCAAAATGAAAAGTAAAAGTGGACAAATAAGGATTTTGGACGGGTTTAGAGTTTCCGCAAAATTCTGAGAAGCTTTTTAATTACAAAATGTTTTTTTTCTTAGCTTTTGATTTTCTTCAACTTTACTAAATTTTGACCCAAACCAACCTGGGATCCAAAAGTCCAAACTAGTTCCGAAAAATCCCAGAAACCAACCTGGGATCCAAAAGTCCAAACTAGTTCCGAAAAATTCCAAAACCAACCTGGGATCCAAAAGTCCAAACACATCCCTCAACATCAAGCAGCATGTTGAAGTCCATTCCAGAAGAAATCTAAAATAAACAAATTAATAAATTTAACAAATCCAGAATATAACGATAATTTTTAAAAAAAATAAGTTTTTGTTGTAATCTTATTAAAATCAAATCTTGATGTTCAAAATTTTCAGTTCAGATATTTAGAAAGTAGTAATAAAAAACTTACATACCTTAATTACAGGGGGTCCGGAGTAGTTAATAGGAGTTAGTTCTAGAACTCGTTCTATACTGTTAGTTTCAAGCTCCTCTCGTACTCTACCATTGTTTACTAACATAGACAGATAGATATAGATAGATAGATAGATATATGTTACATATGGATGTATAGATAGACGTTAGATATGGATAGATAGATGTTAGATTTGTAAAGATGTCAAGTTATGGAAAGATAGATAGATGTTAGATATGGATAGATATATGTTAAATATGGAAAGATGTTATATGTATACTGTATAGAGGTTAGATATGTAGACTGGCGCTGTAGGACAAGTGACATAGTGCCGTATAGACTATAGATGGATAGATGTTAGATATTGATAAATATATTTTAGATAGATAGACAGATTGTTGTCAGATATGGATAGCTAGATGTTTGATCTGAATAAAACGAACAAACAATCAATCAATCAACCATCATTCCGTTGAAGTCAGGACTGAGACCTCATCAAAAATAGCCACAATGGCTATTAATAAAATCTCATTTCTCTAGATAACAAAAATTCAGCCCCCCTCCCCCGGACAAATTCCTCTGAATACGCCCCTGATATATGTATATAGTATATCAATCAGATATACTATAAACTAAATATATATGTTTTGAGTACAAATTTCGTTCATCCAAGATTTCTCTTAGATTGTTCCACGAATCTACCAATCCAGCATCGACGACATAAAACCATAGTAATTCAATAATAAACTCAATTTCCCAGGATTTTTTAGATTTAACAACTTTTGAATACCAGACATTAGTACCTAAAATGGCCATCCTAGAGTTTCTCGAGAAAAAATTTACGAAAAAAACTAACAATTTCATCCTGGTCATCACTCAGGGGTGGCTTAGGGGTGTTATTGGCTAAACAAATTTGAAATATTTTTTTCAAAATTTTTTCTTTTCAAATTTTTCAAAAAAAATTCCCACGGGCAACGCCGGGACCTTCAGCTAGTATAATATAAAATAAACAAGTTCAAAAGATTGTTTTCTAATTCCAATGTTGGGTTTAAAAAAACAATCTTTTATTTTTAAAACTTTTCTAGATGTCAAACCCAGAAGAATATTTCTGAATAATGTATCTCATTCGGAAGTTAAATATATTAAGAAATGATAACTAATAACTTGTACCTTGTACCTAATAAATAATAAACGAGGTTAAGTCTAAAAAGTAAATATGTAGATAATTCATTACTTCACATTCAGTTCTACACTCAGCTCGGTTACACAAAAAAGTTAAAAGATAAAATAGATTCACGGATGCACATGGAAATGTGTTGGGGGGGATGTCTACCACAAAAATACCCTTTATACGCCCCTGAATACATCTATATTTATCCCCCTCCTACAAGATGGGAAAGTCTTTACCTGTAGTTGACTTCATCTCTCCCTGCCCACACTGACCGTCAGTATTGTCGCCGCAGGCGAGTACCTCACCTCTAGAGGTCAGTAGCAGGGTATGCTAAGAAAGTTATATAAAAGAATTTTCACTTTTGAAAATTTTCTCAACTATTTTCAATCAAAATTTAACGGTGCACTTTAAACTTTAACTAATAAATTGAAAAATCTATTATGCATCGATTTTAGAAAACTTCCTTACACCTTCTACGTACTTCTAATAGTTGAATTATTTGAGAGGTTAAGCAAATCAATAAGTATCTCGGAAAGATGGCCGACTCGACAAATAAAAGGATATGATGCATACCTTTTGCCCCCATTTTTTTCTTTCAAATTTTGTTAATGAATTGAAGCAGATTTAAGTTGGTTAAACTGTATCGTCGCCGTCCTGTACTGTACTGGTTAATGTTATGATTGAAGGATGTAAGGATTCTTAGAAGCCTGTATGTGAAAAATTTTAAATTTGACAAAAACAAAGACCCATGAAGCTGGCAAGAAGCATCACTCGTTGAAACATTAAAAAAAGGAGGGAACAGAAAAGACCAAAATATTTGAACATTTGACATTTATTATGAAATTTTTCGAAAGTGTACTAGCTTTCTAAGAATTAACTTATTTTAAATTGTTATTTATATTAAAAAAGTTGAATAACATACATATTGAGGAAGTAAAAACATGTCTAAACCAAATAAAGATAGTACATATTTTTCCTACCCGCTTACTCAGAGCCACCATAACGATAATATGTCCAGTAGGACCAGTATTCGGCATTGGAGTTGGGACCCGTCGGTTCTTCAGATCTCCCTAAATAGATAAACAAATAAATAGATGGATTGATAGATAGACAGTTAAAAATAGGTAAATAGGTAACTAAATAGAGAGTTTGGTTGTTAGATAGGTAGAAAGATATATATCTGATATAAAGGTAGATAGATGGAAAACTAGTTAGATATATAGGTATATAGATTATGGATACAGGGTTTCCCAAAAAAGTATGAAACTTCAGAGAGTACAGTACGGAATATTTTCACATGGAAACATCGTCTTTACAGTCTCATCCTTCATGGATAACCCTAGGGATAGGTTAAGTTAATTTTAGAAAGGTAGATATATAGAAAGATGAATAAATATGAATATCAGATATGGACTAATGTAAAATTAATATGTATTAGACGAATCATATGATAGTACAATTTCCAAATACTTAAATCCTTAATTTTTTATTTAGTCCCACAATTTATGGTCCAAACGTTTGATGTAAGAAATAGTAAATGATCTTTTGTTGAGTTTTTACGCATAGATTTTTACAACATTATCTATTTAATTAAGTATAAAAAGTTATTGATAACAGTTTTATTGAATGATAACAGAGATAATAATGATACCTGTCCCAGCTGTCCAAACTCGTTATTACCCCAGGACCAAGCCTGACCATCCTCGTCCACAACTACCACATGTCCTGCATCCTAAAACAAATAGCAATTCCTTCATTTTCAAGTAAACCTCGAACAAAATCAGATTAAATCATATTTTATCTGAATAAAATGATAATTTTTTGACAATAAATATACAGATATAAAATAAAAAAGAATTACTGCAGCAGAAGGACTTAGATAGCAAAGAGATGTATCACTAAGCCCCCTAATGTGCTTGAAAATTGACTTTTTTTGCTGGCAACGGTGACAATTTGCACTAGGCTGGTTAACAGGCACGCCATAACTAATAATTCTTTATAAAACAACATTTAGAGACTTGAACGAACATAAGAAAACAACTAACTAGCAAAGGTTTCATAGTCATCAATTCAGAATTTGTTACTGCGAAATTTTAACTCGGGATTTAGAGTAACTCAAGTCCCGGAGACAGTTAATTTGAATAAGTAGTACAATAAAGTCAATTTCACTAATTTTTAGCATTTTTTCACAACTGGAAAAGGAATACAATTCAAGAATTTTTTTTCAGATTTTAATTAATAATCGTTTTCAAAATTTTATTAACCTCATTTCAAATAACTTTCATGTCTGAATCAAAATATTCTATTTCTAAAGGAATTCTTTAAAAATCAATTGAAATTTTTTTCAAAAAGGCGTATGTTCAACCTGTGAGCTGCCAAGGTGGCGGATCCTGATATCCTTGAAGGCAGCGAGGAACATGGGCTCGTACACGTTCTGCTTGCTGTAGTAGAAGTCGTCCTTCAGCTTGCAGGGCTTGTTCACCTATTTACAAGATAAATTGAAGTGAACTAAGTTTTTTCTTGTAATAATTTTATGTCACAAATCAAGCAGCATTTCATTTACCATTTTTTTCTAAATAAATACTTGCGAAGATTTTCCTGTTTTCCTTGGTGGATTTCCAAAAAAATTAAAACTCGAAAGTTTATGAAGAAACATTTCAAATTTTTACAGGTCATAAGCCTAAACTAAGGTCATGTGAGGTGAAGTTTATTGGATATAAAAAAGAAACTGAAAAGCCAAATAAATGCAGATTAAAATGCATTTTCACGTTTTTCGAATTATAAAACTGATTTTCTGACATTCTATTCATGCTTCTGCATTGATCTAAACAATTAATATATTTTATTGTCTGAAAATCTTTATAACGAAGATGCAAGTTCTCATACACCAAATCTGCAGCGGTGCATTACGCGCAATATCTTTTCAGGAATTTTTACACGACCTTCCTCTCTCCTTTTGCATTTTCTAAGATTTACATAAGTAATTTCCGTTCTGCAAAATTGCTTTTAGCAAAAAATTTATTTTATTAATTCTTTAGACTATTTTTAATTGTGAAAAAATTATTTTGTATCAGTAGAACAAAACTTCCAACATAACAGAGTTTCTTCAAATATATTTGTAATTATTCATCCTTGGGTTTCTGGACTGTCTAAAAATATCAGCAGACTTGGATTTTTTTGCAAAATATTTTCTTAACTAACGGATTGATCAGTTAAGCTTTTTAAAAGAGAACACATTTTTGCACCACAAAAATAAGTGCTCGCACGATTATATAACACGCTACAATTGCACAGTACAAACTGCATAAGTCTATAAAGAAAAAACCATTTATGAAACTATTATGGTTATTCAAGTTTATAAGACATACGATACAATTAGGGTGACTCGCAAAAATTCTCCCAAATAAAGATTTAATTTATTCGAAAAAATAATGGCTTGTTCATCTACCTACTCAGGTAGTTCGATGTGAGTGGGCACGTACACAATAGCAGTACTATTTTCAAAATTTTAAAAGGGGATGGTGGAGTTGGCACATTTGATGTAGGGGGGGGGGGGGCCCTGCCTTCATTTTTGGTTCAAATCTTCCAATTTTTTGGATGCACGCCTAATTAGGGTTCGAAATTCCTATAATAAAATCAAATTGAACTTTAATGACCTCTAATGACCTCTAATGACCTCTAATGACCTCCACAAATAGAAAATATTTCAACTATGGCTTAATGCATATCAAACGAAAGCTAGGAA